GGGACTTAGAACAAATTACCATCATTATTGCAGAAGCTCTTAACCTAGTATCTAACAAGCAGGCGGTTTCCGAAATCGCATTCTAATGAACTAATCAGCTACAAAAAAGACCTAGTGATTCTCATGGCTATGCCGGTTGAGGTTCCTTATCTGACTGCCGCTGCGGTAGTCAGATTGGTCTGAGTATGAAGGAACGAAAATGTACACTGAAACTTATTTCTGGCCATAGTACACAATTAATTTCACTATATTGTCTCTACATTTGTTTCTCAGTGCTGAACTTTCCATTGTGTGACAATCAATACAAATCATATGTTAATCTAAAATACCTTCAAAGATAACTTTAGGGTTTAGTTATTGTCAAGAGTTGACCTGCATTTTTTTGAGAGGCTGAATTGTAAACAAAAACCAGGCAACGGAACACAGATTTCACTTCCGGATCATCACCATGACCTTATTTCTCAATGTGCACTGTCGCCGAAATACACACAGACAACTACACCATAAGCTCACATTTTAAAAAATGAACAATTGCCTTTAAATCCTTATCAAGAATGCCAAAATTTGACTCTAGTATCACCACCAAACTTTGACAGGAAAAAGTGATCTAAAAATAGAATGGGACTACATTCGTGGGTACTGAACCGGTTTTTATTAATTGTGTACTGATTCCTGAAAGGGTCAATGTTTTTGTCAAACTTTTATATTTGCATTTTTGTTGCATGCCACTACTATTTCAACTTCATACATAAAGTCTTTTGAAATTTCCTTGCAAGCAAAACACGTGACAGCTATCAGAAAGTGTGTAGTGCTGGTCTTCTATAGGGTGCAATTTGAGATCCAATTGTTCTTAAGAAACCCAAACTAAATTTGCTATATGTTCCTCAATTATAGGAATTTTTCAATGCAGTAAAAACCTAATTGTGATGCCTATCTGAACATATTCTTGAAATTAAAAAATATTGATATATTAAATTTTAATGAAAATTTAAATAAATATATAAATTTTAAAAACTATTTATTTTACAAAAATTAAATTTTCATACAAGTTATGACATTCAGTTTCACAAATTTAAGGCAGCAAAGTTGATTAATGAATGGTGATTAAAACAAATGGTAGTTTAGGTCTGTACAACTGATAATATTAATCTCAAGGGTACTGAAGCATGATAGCGCACAATGATTTTGACAGCAAATTGCAACATGCCTATCCAGATGCATATAGGTGTACATACTAAAGAAACAATGACAGGTGCTATGTTCCACATTTATTGTTTTAGGCACTTGGCCAGTTGTTTGTATAACTAATAGCCCACTCAAATTTAAAGTTTTGATGGGATCACTACCATGTTTTATAGCAAATATGCATTCCATTTTAATGCCGATAACTACAAAAGTCAACAATGCAATATGAAAATACAGTTTCAGGGAAGTTCTACCTTACTGAAAAATTATGTGAATCTCTGTCATGAAGATCTAAGCCATGTCTTTGAGATGCTGTATATCAGTGTACTGATATGAACTCATCTTGGTCACTTATAGCAGCAGACTGCACATGTCCTCATGAGACCTTGCTATTACCATTGGACTACTGGAGAGCTTTCAAAATGATACAACTCTAATACTTTGTTCCAGATACCAGGCTAGACCTGAAAAGATATAACATGTTTCACTTAATTCTAAAAAAAACCCAACTGAAAGATGTAAGCAAATGAAGTTAAAATGTGTTAGTAATGGTGATTTCAAAATAACATTCAAGTTGCAAATAGGGTTAAAAAAGGTAAACTTGATAGAGTGACACTCAAAGATGTGAAGCAATGGGCATGTATTAAAGTGACAAATGCATCCTAAAAATAGATGAAGTTTCTACAAGCATATTTAGCCATTTACAGGTTAAATAACTAATCAGGTAGAGTATGTATCATAAAGTTTAAGGCAATGTTGGAAAGGTGAGGTTTGATCGTTGGTGCAAACATTGATACATAACAGTATAGTGGAAAGTCAAATGACAATGTACAAAATTAAAATTTATTACTATATGCAATCCTATTCATGAAGGAAAAACAATTTTAGATATTGCGAGTGAATATAGCAAAATGTGGCCACACAGATCAACTATAGGTACCAATAGATCCTATATCATCAACTAAAGGTTGAAATTTTAATCCCGAAAACTGGTAAACAAGGATGGATATTTGCATGTGTGGGACATATGCAATGTACTTGGTAACATCACATGTGCAAACATGATTCAGATAATCTGTTTGAACATTTTTAGTCTATTTTTAAGAGTCTTGGCTACCAAGTTATTAAGTTCAATGAGTCAATGATTCAATGGAATCAGATATCAGCTGATGCTGCAATACCGCCCTCTGTCAAAGTACTAAATTGAAATGTGTTACCATACAGAGGCATATTCATGATGAAAATAACATCTTGGGATATTTTAAGTGCACACAGTCAAAACTGAGCCTTACAGATTCACTATAGGTACTATGTCTACCTAACAATGTCAACTTTTGATTCCAAACATTACAAAATATATGCATATTTGTTCATGTCAGCTATGTAACCATATTAGGATCAGTTTGTAGAAAGTTAAATTCAAATAATCTGTTTGAATATTACTTATGTAATCTTTAAAGTGTCAGATAACAAATATTATTAGTCATTAATAATGCATAAAGCAAAATGGATCATGAGAATTCTCACAATATCAACTGGGCCACAATGTCGCACTACATCAATCAACATATTAAAGAAACTGAACAATAAAATGGAATGCATTCTGTGTTCAACTTACATCATTTTACTGTTTTCTTACATGCAATGGTAAATATACCTGGGTAAAGTATATTTTACCCCCTCTGACCTGTATTTCATTCTCTGACAGCTTAATATGATTTTGTAGAGAACTTAAACAGGTTCTAGTATAAAGTCTTCATCTCTGTCCTCTCACTAAATACCCTATAACTATGTTTATACACAATTACTGATAGCTATACAAGCAGATATGTGTTACTCAGGAAGTCACCCCATCATAAACACATAAATTAACTGCTTGGATCCCAAATAAAAAGTTTCAATGATCTAAAGGTACAAAGCAAAGTAGAATTTTGTCTTCATGTATTTTAAATGAGGGTCTCATTTTGACTAATACAGATATTTTCTCTGATCAAATTTGACAAATATCCATCATTTGAGCTTGTATATGGTGTAGGAGTATATATATGCTGATATATTTTTATATCATTCTAAATAAATATTATATATGTATATATTTGGTGGAAACATTTTATTTTTTAATTGTTTTTTAAATTTCGTTTAAATTTTTAAAATTAAAATTATTTTTTATTTTTAATTTATTTTTATATTTTTAAAGTCAACATACATAACTTATTAAAATTTCATGTGAATGTCATTAATAATAAAAATTTTATATCAGTTTCAAGTTTTTACTGACAGGCCATAGTACACAAATAATTTCACTATATTGTCTCAACATTTGTTTCTCAGTACTGAACTTTCCATTGTGTGACAATCAATACAAATCATATGTTAATCTAAAATACCTTCAAAGATGACTTTACGGTTTAGTTCTTGTCAAGGGTTGACCTGCATTTTTTTGAGAGGCTGAATTGTAAACAAAACACCAGGCAACGGAACACAGATTTCACTTTCGGATCATCACCATGACCTTATTACTCAATGTGCACTGTCGCCGAAATACACATAGACAACCACACCATAAGCTCGCATTTTAAAAAATAAACAATTGCCTTTAAATCCTTACCAAGAATGCAAAAATCTGACTCTAGTATCTCCACCAAACTTTGACAGGAAAAAGTGATCTAAAAATAGAATGGGACTACATTCGTGGGTACTGAACCGGTTTTTATTAATTGTGTACTGATTCCTTCTGCCTTTCCTATCATTACTCTTCTTCCTGTCCTACACTTCCGTCTTTGCTTTATCTTTTACCACGTACAACCCATTGCTTAATAGTTAAATGTAATTGCGTCAACGTAATTATATATATATATATATATATATATATATATATATATATATATATATATATATATATATATATATATATATATATATATATATATCCTGAGGGTTTAGGTAATTTGTTTGCTATTATGTTATTGTCGCGCGGTGGTGATCTCATCATTACAGAGCCGAGCACTCTCTTTATGGCAGGAAGTAGAATACTAGTATATTTGGTGTTGAGTGGTTTACTTAATTGCTGGATGATATTACACAAGGACAAAAGTAGGTAAATGTTATTTATATTATGTAATATTGTGATATTCATTGTGTAGTAGATACAACCCACCCACCACCGTGGAGAATTTCATCGTTTCTTGATTGCATGGTGTACAATATAATAAAAAATAGGAAAATGTCTTTCAGTAGCTTACCCCTAAGTAGGTTGCACTTTCCTTTATTTTATGGTAGAGCACATGTGAACTCACTGTTACAGTGTAACACATACTTAGAATAATTCAAAGCAGATCCGGCTTAAGAATTTTGACGCCCTAGGTAAAATATAACTTTGCCAAATACACCTAAAAACCCAACAAATTTATTAACGTGTAATATGGTGCCCCAGAACGCCTGGCAACCTCTTAGTTCGCCTATTGGATCGGGCAGGCTGTTCTTTAAATGGCACTTTAATGCAGTTATCATGAATTTATACTAAAAAGGGATTAACACATCCTAAATTTGGACGTGTGTGTGTGTGTGTGTGTTTATGTGTGTTTATGATTTTAACGTAGCTTTTAACAATTTTTCAGTCATATCACTATGATGTCTGCAGTGTAGCAGTTTATAGTGATGTCTAGCACTGGGGCATCATGCCGCAGACATATAGCATGATGTCCCACCCAGTCACATTATCCTGACACCAGGCCGACCAGTCCTAACACTAACCTCTGAATGCTAAGCGTCAAGCGAGGCAGCTGTTAGTACCATTTTTTGTAATCTCTTTGGTATGACTCGACCGGGGATCGAACCCACGACCTCCCGCATCCTCCCGCATCCGAGGCGGACGCTCTAACCACTAGGCCACCGGAGCGGTCAAATTTGGACGTCAAGGTATACATCAAGCGCTCCGCAGTTTTCCACTTATTCTCTGATCTTTTGAGAAAACCTAAAAAGTAATGACGTCATGCACATTTTGCCATTCTTTAGCAATTTTTTTCCTTCTTCCAATACAAAGTAGTTATTGCTGCCTAGCTCTCACCTTGTTCCTGGTAAATATTACCCTTTGAAGAGGTTAAGACACTTGTGGATATTGATTGCACTGTTTTGGTGTTTTATGGGAAGGTCAGCAAGTTGAAGATTATATCGTATATACGCACACGCACTAAAGTGTCATGCCCAAAGGTTGAAACATGTTAGTCAATTTCTAAAGGGTTCGGGTTCGAATTCCATCATCAGATCAGCTCGAATGGGTCACTGCATCCTTGGTCAACCTACTTTACTAATGATTCCTCATAAAAAGAAATTCAAAATGTTGTTGTGCCTTAAAGCACCAAATTCAATAAAGACAATATCAAATGGTATTTTAGCACACATAGATTAACCTATCAATGTCTGAAGGTTTGAAAATTGACTATGTGTAACCAACCCCTGTTAATATTTTACCGGAAGCGATAATCGATAAAAATGTCGTTGACATCTAGTGTTACATTTGTATTCATATTACTTTAACAATAAAATATGCTTAGACAAGCTTCAATCTCTGTCTCTATATGAAAGAATTCATATCGTTTCTTAAAATCCAACTTATTCTTTGGAGTTTTTCTTGAAAACTATGACAAGCAATCTAATAGTGTCTAACTCGTCGATAAAACGAATTTTCGCTTTTAAAGTGTCAACGAAATTACTTGAACTTGCCATTTGCTTATATAAAAAACAATATTTTTACAATTTTACAACAACATAACATTTATTTAGTTTGTTTTCTGGTTGTTAAACAGCATCTTCAACACATCATGTCTATAAAATGGGAGCTAAGAGTTTTTCCCAAGGAAACAACAATGTAGCCAATTATTTAGAGGAAAGACTGATCAAATTAAACTGCATGCAAACATGATCTACTTTACTCCATCGTTCCGATAAGGAAATAATAGCGTTGGAATCTTAAAAGCTTTTATTTTGTACAAATACTAACGTAGCTCTCTTCACCACCCTTCCCTTCAATTAATTTTCATATAAACAAAAACATTTAGAAAACAGGTTTGAGAATTGTCGTATACGGAGACTTCAAGGAGCATAATAAGCCTTTGATGTCAAACATGAAACAGCACTCAAAACGGAACTTTTTTTATTCTCTCGACTTGATGTGAAAATACACAAGTTATGATGGCGTCTTGGACGGAGTCTTTGGGACTTTAGGACAGGTAACCGTTATGTACAGCCTATTATGTGCTGAAAAATGGCTTTAAACCCAACTGAACAAAACAAACAAATTTGTTAAGTCGCACTGGATAGTTTCGCATTTTAACACACACACACACACACACACACACACACACACACACACACACACACACACACACACACGCACACACACACACACAAACACACACACATTCACTTTGAAAGCAAAAGGCATGTGCCAAATAAGCGTCAGCCTAGTGCTTAAAACTTTAAACAAATACTAAATTTGTAATTTGGTTTACTTAATGAATTAGGTTTCAAAATCGATTGGATACATGTCAACTGACTTTTATAGTTAGACTAACACAGGAGAGCAAATGCATAACTTCGGCCCAAAATGAACAGACAATTTGATTTAAGTGTTTGCTAAAGATGTATATATTTCAAAATCGAGACGGGTTATAAAACATGGTATAATAACAGAGAACTTTAATGATGATTAAGGTTCATATTATCTATACGTGCCGACTCGTCGCAGAAAAATGTTCAAAATAGCCATTAGGTGTCCACAATAAATATTTTGAAATTGCGGTTGCGGTATTTTCGGTTCAGCATAAAATTACCATGTTCACATGGAATTAACATGAATACCTTAATTTAAATCGTATAGCATGCTTTCCACAAAACCATTGGTTAGTTTTAAATTCAGACACACATACACGCAGACTGACAGACATACAAACCAACACACACACAAACACAAAGAATGTGAGACCTTAGTAGAGGATATTCGAATCATATACCAAAAAGCATGGCGTGGTACAGGACCCACACACGTTATTGTTGCTCTTGACATAATCACATTGTTGGAATATGTGCAGCGAATTTTTTTTTATTTAAAAAAGTCATCAAAACAAAAAAAAAACCCCATAAAAATATATACATTCTAGCCTTATGCTACCTGTTTAGCATAAAAGCGATAAAAGTCACAAAATCGCACGGTAAGAATTACATGTCAATAAGTATATATAACATCGAAGGTGAGAAACAGTCACAAATTTGGAGATGAAAAGTGTCTACGTAGTAAATTTCAGCTGTTATAATGACCCGTAGCGTATTAAATATACGTCAAAGTTGAATTACCCAACAGATAAATAAACAATTCGGAGTATTAGTGCCATTATACATCGAAACTCTTTATTAGTGAATCAGTGCATACCTTGAAACTACTCCCCGTACAGTCTCATTTTCCAGTTATTAAATCCAATTTTGCATTCACATTTTGTTATGTTGTCTACATACTGACAAACTGCACTTACAACAAATTGTCTGCCCCTAAGCGAATCTTTGATAACGGGATTCAGAGAGAATCACTAGGAGCACAATAAGGACTGCATGGAGGATGAGGCAAAACTTGCATGTTGTGCTTCCTTAGATAGCCTTTCACTAAAACAGATTTATAAGCGATTGTGTTGTTATGGATCAGAACGGATACGTACTTCTTGCAGCACTTTGGAGGCTTAAAACTGTCCATGCAATGGGAGCAGCAGAGTTAGGGATGAGTATGTAGATAATATATATTTTTGCCCCGCAAAAAGCGCATAAAACTCTCTTGACAGTCCGTCTATATTTTAAACGATTTTGCGATCTCTGTTCTAAATCCAACTGTATTATTTTCTGTTGAGTCGGCCTCTGAAAAGTTATTCCATGTTTCATACTACCTATGATACTCTCGTTAAACGACTAAGGTGACTTTTTCATATTTGGCTAATAGTTGTTTTGCGATTTCAACCAGAAATCAGCCGTCAACATTGTCTACAATCCTTTCTCAATCCCAGATGATTGTTGAAGATATAAAAAGGAAAACGAAATAAAGACGGTAATAACTGAAATATCTTCCACTATGTATCAAACATTCTTCATGAGTTGCCATCTTTACAACATGAACTGCCATTTTAAAAATCGCATGCAACGGTCTTCTATAACGTAGATTATTTTCCACAAACATAAGACCATCTTTCAAACGATGAAACCACCTCAAAATTGTAGGATACGACAGTAAATTACATCTACCAACTTTATCCAAGTCTGCCTTGGTATCAAGTCTGAGAATATTCTAAGAGCGCCTTGATTTTAAGTGTACTCCTTGCGCAGAAGCAGAATTATTATCCTTATCCGGCATTTTTAGGTCACAGTGACTTAAATACGACAATTCACAAACATATTTACAGATTTATGGTATGCTGAACATGCAGCTGCTTAATATTTTAAAATTTTATTTTTTCTATTGACCGCAAACATTAATTGACTTGCTTCGAGAAACAAAATGTCTTGAGAAAATGTTCAGAGATTTTAAAATCCCATCATCTTTTCTAACGACGAATGTATACCACTATTTATGATTTATCTATTATTAGTTAATGTTATACACTAATATCGGAAATATAACGGTGGATTGTTTTTTCCGACAAAATGCACGTGATGCTAAATATAGTTCTTTGCATTTTCTAATACATGATAGATTGTATTTCAACAAATAACTTGATTCGAGGAGTAAGCAAATCCATAAACAGCGAATAAATTCAGATGGCGAAAGAAATGTCTGAAATTTTCTTCTCAACGAAATTATTTCAGTGCGCAACAAAATTTATTAAAGCAATTTTATTCGAGGAGAAACAATTTTAATTCGCATTAGAATCTATTTTCTTTGTGTCGTAAATAATTTTGTTGTACAAGAACATGTTTTCTCTTTATCCCACTGAGAATGTAACTTAATGCTCATTAGAAAATGTTTCCATTCACAGCGAAAAAGATTTTTTTTTTGTTTTAAAACGGGAAAAAGATTTTATTGGAAAAACTTATTTTTATACACAAATAAGGTAAAATTTTCAGATAAATCAGACGATGTTAGTAATGCCGTATATGAAAGGCAACGCAATTATTTATCGTAACCTGCACTGTTTGTTTTCTTTCCTCTTGTTATACAATGATACATGGAAAAACAAAATCTAGACAGACCATTCTGTAAACAAGTCTTCAAGTACTTTTCGTTCAAAATATAACTTTATGAAGTGTTTTATTAGTAAATAAAACAAATATCCCTCGACGAAAGGATCTTGAATAAATTCTGCACAAAGCCCCTCCCCTTCATTACGTTGGAAATGTTTGTTGCATTTTTTGGGGAACACAAGTGCGTGCAGACGACTTAGTGTCATATGCTGCGTAGAATTAGTCAGAAAACCTCAAAGGGCATCTGAAACTTCTGAAATCGGCTTTCTTTCATGGTTCTGCACTTAAACCGGAAACACATGAGCCTTCTACTTGACTTTTGTGCTTTAGTGTATTGGTGGTGCACAGAGCGCTGTGCCATTTTAAACTGACTTTTCGACCCAACAAAAGGGGAAATCCGCTCGATGACCGGTAACTATAACGTCGTACGCTTTTGCTGTTCCTGTAATTCTTAACTGTACAGAACATGTGTATTTGCGAATGCTATTGCAATACGCACAAATTTACAGCATGCTAATATGTTAGGAACTACGAATTTAGACGTTTTGAATCCCATACGAGTCCAATCGACGTCAGCTTTTTCTTTCTTTTAATTTCTAAATTCTCCAGGTGGCCGTTGGGGAACGTGCATATGATTTTTTGAGGGAGGGGAACTAGGGGCTGAAAATGGTAGCAGAATTGCGGC